TCCTATTAGTTTTTGCTTTATGCATTTGGACACTCAACTGTTAGGTGCATACACGTTAAAGACTGGTATGTCTCCTTGGAGAATTGACCCCTTTATCATTACATAATGCCTCTCTTTGTCCTTGATAATTTCCTTGTTCTGAAGTCAGCTTTGTTTGAAATTAATATAGTTACTCCATCTTTCTTTTGATTAGTGTTACTTTGGTGTACCCTTCTCCATCTCTTGACTGTTTCAGTTTTTCTTTTCTTTTTTTTCTGAGGAAGATTGTCCTGAGCTAAAATTTGTTGCCAATATTCCTCTTTTTTTGCTTGAGGAAGATTAGCCCTGAGCTAGCATTTATGCCAATCTTCCTCCACTTTATAGGTGGGATGCTGCCACAGCATGGCTGATGACTGGTGTAGGTTCATGCCCAGGATCTAAACCCATGAACTCAGGCTGCTGAAGCAGAGTGAGCCAAACTTAACCACTATGCCATGGGGCCAGCCCCCTTGACTTTTTCATTTTAAGTATTTATTTTTAATGTTTTAACAACTTGATTTTGATGTATTTCACATACCTACCATTCACCCATATAAGGCGTACTATTCATTGGCTTTTAGCATATTCAGGGAGTTGTGCAACCATCTTCACAATCAATTTGAGAACATTTTCATTACCCCTGCAAAAAACCCTTGCAACCCCTTAGGCGATCCCCCACCATCTGCCAGAGCTAGGCAACCACTAATCTACTTTCTGTCTCTATAGATTTGCCTATTCTAGATATTTCACATAATATGTGGTCATATTGGAATGAAGTCATATAATATGTGGTCTTTTGTGAATTTCTCCTTTCCATAGCATGTTTTCAAGGTTCATCCATATTGTAGTATGTAGCAGTACTTGATTCCTTTTTGGTGCTGAATAATATTCCATCACATGAATATACCACTTTTTATTTACCAATTAATTAGCTTTACCCATTAATCAGCTTATGATCATATGGGTTATTTTCACTTTTTGGCTATTCTGAATAATGCTGCTATAAACATTTATGTACAACTGTTTTTTTTTTCTTTTTGAAGAAGGAGATAATGGACATTGGGAAGGCTACTGTCACTGTCCACTAGACCTTGCTTGGCCCCTTCAGTGGTTAGAACTATGGGCATTTCCTCCTTCTGTTTTTTTTTTCTCTGCTTTATCTCCCCAAATCCCCCCCGAGACACAGTTGTATATCTTAGTTACAGGTCCTTTTAGTTGTGGCATGTGGGATGCCACCTCAACGTGGCCTGACGAGTGGTGCCATGTCCGCACTCAGGATCTGAACTGGTGAAACTCTGGGCTGCCGCAGCGGAGCGCACAAACTTAACCACTCAGCCCCGGGGCCGGGCCACTGTGTACAACTTTTTGTGTGGGTAGATATTTTCATTTCTCTTGGGTATATACCTAGGAGTGGGTTGCTGGATCATGTGATAACTCTATTATGTAAACGTTTGAGGAGCTGCCAAACTGTTTCCCAAAGTGGCTGTGCAATTTTATATTCCCATCAACAGTGTATGAAGGTTTGAATTTCTCCACATCCTCCCCAACACTTGTCACTGCCTGTCTTTTTGATTATAGTCATCCTAGTTGGTGTGAAGTGGTAGTTCACCATGGTTTCGATTTGCATTTCCCCAAAGAGTAATGATATTGAGCACCTTTTCATATGCCTTTTGGTTGTGTGTATCCCTTCTTTGGAGAAATGCCTAGTTAGGATCCTTGTCCATTTTTCACTTGGGTTATTTGCCTTTTTATTTTTGAGTTTTAACAGCACTTTATATATTCTAGACACAAGTCTTCTACCAAATATAAGATTTGCAAAATTTTCCTCCCTTTCTGTGGTTTGTCTTTCCACTTTATTTATGGTATCCTTTGAAGCAAAACATTTTAAATCTTGATAATGTCTAGCATATTGATTTTTCTTTTGTTGCTTGTGTTTTTCGTGTCATATCTAAGAAATAATTACCTAATTCAAGGTGGTGAAGATTTACACCTATGTTTTCTTCCAGGAGATTTTATAATTTTAACTCTTAATGCTAGGGCTTTGATCCATTTTGAGTTAATTTTTGTGTATGGTGTGAGATAAGGGTCCAACTTCATTCTTTTATATGTGGACATCCACCTATCTGAGTACCATTTGTTGAAAAGCCTCTTCTTTCTTCATGGAATGGTCTTGGCACCCTCCCTGAAGATCAGTTGACCCTAGATGTGAAGGTTTATTTCTGAACTCTGGAGTTTATTCCCCCCCAAATGGAAATTTTTGACTGCTTACTGTGTTCCAGGCACAATCCTAAGCACCAATTCATTTATTCCTCCTAGTAACTGAGATGGGCACTATTCTTACTCCCATTTTACAGATGAAGTTGTCAAGATACACAGTGATTTGCCTAAGACCAAACAGCTAGTAAGTAACAAGTGACAGAGCCAGGACATGAATTTAGGCCGACTGACTTGAAAGCCTGACCTCTTAACCATGCTGTAAATAAATGTGAGAAAAGAGAACTTAGAATTCCACTAAAGAGTTCATTTTTAAAAACACAGGTAGAGGTCAGATTGGCTGCTACGTCTGGAAAAGCACAACAGAGTGGGGTTTTACTAGCTTGCTTCCTATTGAGTATTAGTAATGGACTTGCCTGAAAAACTCAAAACCATCCCTCTGAGAACAGGAAGAAGACAAGGGTGCCCACTCTCGCCACTCTTACTCAACATAGTACTGGAGGTTTGGGCGAGAGCAATTAGGCAAGAAAAAGAAATAAGAGGAATCCAAATTGGAAAGAAAGAAGTGAAACTGTCACTGTTTGCAGATGACATGATTCCATATATAGAAAACCCTAAAGAATCCATTGGAAAACTATTAGAAATAATCAACAACTACAGCAAAGTTCCAGGGTATAAAATCGACTTACAAAAATCAGTTGCATTTCTATACTCTAATAACAAACTAACAGAAAGAGAACTCAAGAATACAATCCCATTTACAATTGCAACAAAAAGAATAAAATATCAAGGAACAAATTAAACCAAGGAGGTAAAAGACCTATACACTGAAAACTATAACACTTATTAAAAGAAATCAAGGATGACATAAAGAAATGGAAAGATATTCCATGCTCATGGATTAGAAGAAAGAACATAGTTAAAATGACCATACTTCTTAAAGCAATCTACAGATTCAGTGCAACCTGAATCAGAATCTCAATGACATTCTTCATGGAAATAAAACAAAGAATCCTAAAATTTATATGGAGCAACAAAAGACCCGGAATAGCCAAAGGAATCCTGAGAAACAAGAACAAAGCTGCAGGTATCACAATCCCTGACTTCAAAATATAATACAAATCTATAGTAATCAAAACAGCATGGTACTGACACAAAAATGGCCACACAAATCAATAGAGCAGAATTGAAAGCCTGGAAATAAAACCACACATTAATGGACAGCTAATCTTTGACAAAAGAGCCAAGAACATACAATGGAGAAAGGAAAGTCTCTTCAATAAATGGTGTTGGGAACAGTAGACAGCCACGTGCAAAAGAATGAAAGTAGACCATTATCTTACACCATACACAAAAATTAACTCAAAATGGATTAAAGACTTGACTAGAAGACCTGAAACCATAAAACTCCTAGAAGAAAATATAGGGACTACACTCTTTGACATCGGTCTTAGTAGCATCTTTTCAAGTACTATGTCTACTCAGCCACGGGAAACAAAAGAAAAAATAAACAAATGAGACTACATCAGACTAAGGATCTTCTGCAAGGCCAATGAAACCACGAACAAAATGAAAAGACAACCCACCAACTGGGAGAAAATATTTCCAAATCACATATCCAACAAGGAGTTAATTTTCAAAATATATAAAGAACTCATACAATTCAACAACAAAAACAACCTGATTCAAAACTGGGCAGAGGATATGAACAGACAGTTTTCCAAAGGAGATATACAGATGGCCAATAGGCACATGAAAAGATGTTCAACATCACTAATCATTAGGGAAATACAAATCAAAACTACAATGAGATATCACCTTACACCTGTCAGAATGGCTAAAACTACCAAGACAAAAAACAACAAACGTTGGAGACGATGTAGAGAAAAGAGAACCCTTATACAGTGCTGGTGGGAATTTAAACTGGTGCAGCCACTATGGAGATTTCTCCATAAAAATTTATCCAAAAAATTAAAAATAGAAATACTATACGATTCAGCTATCCCAAAGAACTTGAAATCAACAATTCAAAGAGACTTACGCACCCTTATGTTCATCACAGCATTATTCACAATAGCCAAGACATGGAAGCAACCTAAGTGCCCTTCAACCAATGAATGGATAAAGAAATGGTATATATATACAATGGAATACTACTCAGCCATAAAAAAAGACAAAATTGTCCCATTTGCAACAACATGGATGGATCTTGAGGGTATGATGTTAAGCGAAATAAGCCAGACAGAAAAAGACAAACACCTGATGATTTCACTCATATGTGGAAAATAAACAAACACATGGACAAAGAGAACAGATTAGTGGTTACCAGAGGGAAAGAGGGTTGGAGGGGCATGGTGGGCGACAGGGGTAAACGTGTACATATATGGTGATAGATAAAAATTAGACCACTGGTGGTGAATATGATGCAGTCTACACAGAAACTGATAAACAATAATGTACACCTGAAATTTCACAATGTTATAAACCATTATGACCTCAATAAAATATTTAAAAAAAGATTTTTACAAAATGCTGAAGGATTATTAAAAGAAAGAAAAGAAATGGACCTGTCTTCTGTGGTTGAAACCCCTTGAAAGCTAACTTAATTTGTGAGTCCACGCACTACTCTGGCTTACTGGGTTCCTGACGGAGTGCAGAGTCCTTTTAGGGCTTGCTGGAGGCACATAGGGGCGACTGCACCGACCCCCCAGGGATCAGGCCCCGCCCCAGCCGTATGCCGCTCTCTGCTCTCTGCCCCAGAGCGAGAGCGCGGGACTGGACCAAGTCGGCGCCCCGGAGGGAGGCTGCCCGGGATGTGGTAATTCTCGCGGGAAGATGCATCGTTGCCTCGGCAACGGCGTCGCGGTCGCGAAAGATGGCGGGGCGAAGTCTCGGCCTCAGGGTCAGTTCAGCCCCAGACTCCTAGGTAGCAGGCGGGCTAGAGGAGGCCCAGCCTCATTTAAGATCGGGTCTGAAAGTCTCTCTTTTCCAGAGACGGAGTGTTTCCGGGACTCCGCTCCCGCCACGCGTTCAGCAGCCTGCTACACCTCGACGGGACCTCCTCGCCAAGGAGGAAGAATATAAGTAAGAAATTCGGCGGTTCAGCTTTCCTTTCTTTCACCTAAATGAGGCCACTTAACAAGTACTTTTCCTGTGACTGACTGGATTTGGGGACCACTCGCTGTCTAGCATTCTCTTCTCATGGTCCCATTCGCTTGCCCTTCTTCATCTTTTCTCTTTGACTTGAGTTCCCCTGCGTCCTAGAAGGTCTTTGAAGTGGGCAAACATTTAACGCAAGAAACATGTTCGTCAGCAAGATGATAATGCTAGAAGTGGTTTGCATAATAGGAATTGCCACGAATAGTTCAATTTCTAGTTTAAGGAATTCTACTTAATTTCGATTTCCTAGAGTTTACGTATGTACATTTCTGTTAGCTTGGTTTCTAAATTGAAAGCATGTTTCTCAGGGCAGTTGGAATTACCGTTCTCATCCACGTTTGGTGGTGTTGGGAGTTTCCGTATCTGCGCTCAGTGTAATTACAACTGTCCTGACAATACGTGCTTTCATTCTTGGACCACTTCCCTCTTCATCCCCCAGTTTTCACACAGATGCAAGAGTAATCTTTTAATTTGATTGTGTCACTCCCTTGCCTAAAACTTTGCAATGGGTTCCTGTTGCACTTCAAAAGGGCTGTCAGATCTGGCTCCTGCCTCTTGTTTGATCTTGTGCTTTCTTCTTTGGCCTACCACTCTCCAGCCTCACTGGCCCTTAGTTCCTAAAGTTTTTTCCTTCTCTTTCCTTGACGGCAATCACACATACCTTCTACCTGTAATTCTCAGAGTAGCCTTCCTTGCCTATGCTAAGTAGACTCCCTTGCAACTCTTTTTAAATTGTCTTATTAATTTTTCTTTGCAATTAGCATGGCTTGTTACAATAAACTTACTTGTTTATTTTTTGTTGTCTTCCTCCACTGGACCATAAGTTCCACAAGGTTGGAGACTATGTCTTTTGTTTGCCATCGTATATACCCTTACAAAAAATTATATTTTAACAGTTCACTTTCTTTTTAAAGTAACTAATTTACTTAAAAATTTGGAGAACATCCTGACAGTTCCTCAAATGGTTAAACATAGTATTACCATATGATCTGTACTTAAAATTAAAACATATTTAAAGTTAAAACTGACATATACTGTCTTTAGATGAACTGGACACATGCAACTTGTCATAGCATGTAGGAACATAATCACCCTCCTCTATTTGATGAAATGGGCCTACTATTCCAATTCAAGAGTGTACTTAAGCGATGGATCTGTTGTCCAGATACAGTTCTGAATCAGCTGTGCTCAAACCCCAAACGGTTATTTTTATTATCATACACCAGATAGCACTGAATAGCTGCATTGATTAGGTTAATTTCTTTGGTTATTTAAGGGTATATTTTGCACCTGCCTCTGGTATGGTGTTAGGGATATGGTCCTGCTAAAAGTCAGACATCTATAGGAGCGATTGTATTTTAGCAAAAGTTATTTTGTGGTGAAGGCACCCAGTTGTTACTTGTTCTGTTATCTGTACTCTGAAGTGTGCAAATCTGAGGCAATTGAACAGAGTAGCTCCCAGGCTCTACCTGAGCTTGTAGATCACTTCTGCTCCATTCAGAGGAGTAAAATGTCTGGCTGGGGATTCTTATAGACAAGAATATGAGTTCATGACAGAGTATTTTGCCACATGTTGTCTTCTCACTAACCATATTGGGATGTCTTTTCAGTAGGTGGAACACAGCTCTTCCCAGGATTCCCAATCCAGAATCTTCTATAATCAAATAGTTGGAGGAAGTAATCACTATCTGAGAGGACAGACTAAGGAATATGCCAATCAACCAAGTTGAAAAATTTGCCAAGCTTCATGCCTACATCATAAACCAGAGAGCTAAGCAATGAGACTATGTGACATCTGTTTTAGTTGGTCTTAATAACTTGTAGGGTGAGCTTCCCTCTGGCAACCTGCTGTCCATGTCAGTTACATTGGATTTGTAGATTAATTTGCAGAGAACTGACATCTTTATGCTATTGAATCTTCCCCTCCATGAATATGGTACATCTCCATTTACACAGGGGGGTTTTTGGTGTCCTTTAATAATGTTTTGTCATATTACTACATAAATATCTTGCATATGTAATTTTTTTCAAGGTACCTTATAGTTTTTGTTGCTATTTTCTAATTGCTTAGATGTGTAGGACCATTATTGATTTTTGTATGTTGATCCTAAACACATTTATATAGATATAGATTGTCAGCTCTGCTTAACTCTCCTGTTCATTCTGTAGAGTCCCTTGGATTTTTGATATAGTTATATGTAAATTATGATAGTTTTGTCCCTTTACAATTTCTCATGCATCTTCTTTTTTTCTTGATCTGGTTAGAACCTCGAGTGCAATATGAAATACAAAAAGTGATGGTGAGCATCCTTATCTTGGTTATGATTTTAAGGAGCCCACTTTTAATAATTTATCACTACATTTGAGGTTTGCTGTAGTTTTGGTAGATTTCTCAGGCTTAAGGACACTGTTTCCCTTATTTCCTGTTTTGAATGAATGTTAAATCTTATCAAATTTTTCTCCCCCAAATTAATTTAGGTGATGAAATTTTTTTTCACTCCCTTGTTTAATGTTTTAACATACTGAACTACAAAGGTATTTTTCTTGTTTTCCTTAAAAAAATTCTGGATTTGAATGCTTTAATTTTATGTAAGTTTTTTTCATCTATGAACAGAAGTGAAATCGGTCTTACACTTTTTTCTAGTTCTTTTCCTTTCTGATTTTGATATCAGTGTTATCCTAGCCACATGAAATAAGTTGAGTAGTTTTCCTTTTTTGTTTTATTCTGTTCTTGGAAGCTTTTTGTAATTAGAGATCATCTGCCCTTTGATAAAAATTGTGAAACCGAATCTGGTGTGGGTTTTTTTTTTTTTGCCTATCAATTCAGTTTCTTTAATAATTATTGTTTTCAGAATAAATTTTAGTTATTTGGTAGTTTTTTAGAAAAGTGTCCACTTCATGTATATTTTTAAACGTATTAGCATAAAGTTTTTCTAACTATGCTCTATGTTTTAAATCTTTACTGTATCTGTAATCTTATATACACCTTCTTTTGGGGACTTTCCAACACTGTTTATTTTTATCTTCTCTCTTTTTTTCTATCAGGCTTTCTGGGAGGTTTATATATTTTATTGGTCTTTTCAGAGAATTAGCTTTTGATTTTATTGCTAATCAATTTTTCTTTAAATTTCATTAGTCTTATCTTTATTATTTCTATCTCTTCTAATTGTGGTGGATTTATTTTTTCCTTTTTTGGCTTTTCTTATTTTTTAATAAATACATTTAATTTCTGTAAATTTCTCTCCAGCTACAGATTATCTGTAAGGAACTGTTTTGATATGTATATCTTTTGTGGTTATTTAGTTTTAAATATTTTATGATTTCCATAGTGATTATTTAGGAATATGTTTTTTAGCTCCAAAGCTTATGTTTGTTTTATTTTTGTTATTTTTGAATTTACTTTTAATTGCACTGTGGTCAGAGAATGTGTATAATTTTGATTTTCAAAAATGTATTGCAGCTTGGTTGTGACGAGGTACCATGTTCCAATTTTGAAAATATTCTGTGTGTTCTTTGATAGAAAATATATTTACTATTTGTTGACTAATCTGTTAGATCAAGCTAATTAATTTTGCTGTCCGTAATATTAGTGTCCTCACCTTTTTTTTCCTACTAGCTGTATTGGTTTCTGTTAGAGGTATACTAAAATCAACTATAACTGTAATTTTAAAAAATTCTCTTTATAATTGTGTCCAGTTTTGTTTGGGGGTTGTATTGTTTAATTTATTTAAATACTTGAGATGAATTATTCCTTTCCTTATTACATAGTGTCTGTTACATCTTTTTCCTTCATTTCATTCCTTTATTTTCATTCCTTTTTTCATTCCTTTATATTCAAACTTTTTGTGTCATTTAGCTTAAAGAGCGTTTCTTTTATATCTATCTCATAATTTCTGCCTTCTAATATGTGAATTTATATTATTTTGTTTATTAATTTGAAGTTGTTTGGGCCATCTTTTTGTTCGCTTGTTTTCTATTAACTGTGCCTTTTCTTTGTTTGGTTCTTTTCTGTCTTCTGTTGGGTTGAATGAGTTTTCATTATGTCTTTATTTTTCTTTCATAAAGACGTTAGAAATGCTTTAACTTGGTTTCCCCCGTCTGTCAAGTTAGATAATACTTCCTCTTTGTTTTGAATACCCCTACTTGTTATTGTTATAGTCTCTACCAACTTAGACTTATCATGATGTTTTATAATTTCTTTGCTCTTCATGATTCAATTTACTCCTTCCTCAAGTGTAGAACCTTCATTACTTCTCTCTGTGAAAACCTGAGTCTTCAATTCTCCAGTCTTTTCTGAAAATTTAGTTACTTCGTGCTTGTTCTTCAAAGACAGTTTAGCTGAACACAGATTTCCAGATGGCCAGTTTTTCAGCCCCACAGTCCATTAAAGATATCATTTCCTTGCCCATTGGAATCTAGACTTGTTGATGAGCCACCTGCTGTCAGCTTTTTAGATAATCATGCTGGGAGACTATTTTCCTCTGTTCTTTTTAAATAGTTGCTTTGGTAATTTAAAGAATATTCTCTTTGTCTTTGAAGTTCTGCAGTTTCGCTATGATGTGTGTAGGTGTGGATTTGTTTTCTTAATTCTGCTTGAGATCCATACCTTTCTGCATTTCTGACAAATTCTCAGCATTATCTATTCAAATATTGACATTCCCTCCTTCTCTGGGATTTCCTTCTGCACCTCTGTTAGGGTGATATAAATCTGTCTTTGCGGTACCCTCTGTCTTCAGTGGATGTTAGCCTCTGACTCCCACACGTCCGTCGGTTTCTAGCTGTTAAGCTGTTTTGGCTTCTGTTCCTGTTTACTGCTCTCACTTTGAGTTGCTGCTTTATTTTTAGTGCCAGGGTATTTCCCTTGCCTGAGTTTGAGCTTTAGCGGTATTTACTTCATTACGTTTTATCCTGCATTTCCATGGGTTTGGAGCAGAAGAATAACCTTCTGAGTCATCCTGGTCTACTGTATTGACCAGAAGCTTCTAATGGCTCTTGTTAGGGAAATGTGAAAAATCAGGTGATGGCATTTAGGTGCAACTTTAAGTCTTTATTAGATATTTTTGTTTTGACTAACTCATCCTAAGATGTAAAAATATTTCTTAAAACATCAGACTGCTTTAAGAAGAAAATGGTACTGCTTTTTTTTTCCCCTCTGGGAGTGGGGGTCATCAGTCGTTTGTGATACTTCTGAATCACATATCTAAAACAGACAAATAAGATATCTCGTTTTTAAAGTTGCGCAACATATTTCTTTCATATCACTTTAAAAGAGGCTAGATGGCCTAGAAATGTGACCTATGAATAGAATAAAAAAGTTATATGCTTTGGAAGATGCTTATTATAGTGTTAACCTTTAAAAGTGAAAAAGGGACTTGAACCAACAGTAGGAACAGTTTAGTACGTTATGTTAGCTTCAACTCAGAATATTTTGTAACCATTTAAGGCACTAATTATAAAGATTATGTAGAGATAAACATATTCCTCTATATTGTTATGGGAAAATGTACAAAATTGTATATATACTATAGATGAAATTTAGAAGGGAATATTAAAAATAAAAATGATTGGATGATGGTGGTAGGATTATGAGCAATTTTCCCTTTAAAAGCAGTTTCCTTCAATGGTATTGCCATTCTTGCAGTCTAAATGGGGCCAAATAGTTTGAAATTTTTTTTTTTAAAAAGGAGTGGCAGGGGGAGGTCAAAATAATTACCTTTATTTCTGATGAAGCTGATATTGAAGTACCCAGCTGAGGTGCGAGCCTCATTAGATGTGCTCACTAAACCCCAGATTCGCCTTCCCAGTCACAGCCACACCCCAGACCAATGCAGGCCTCTCCCTCACCCTGCCCCGCTCCTGTCGCCAGTTGGAGTTGATCCCAAGAAGATGAAGAGTGGAACTGAGTTGAATCTGCCAGTTTATTCTTCCTAAATAAGTCATTTCACCTGAAGTGAGGGCCAGAGAGAGGCCAGGAATTCACTATTTTGATTTCTACCATGAAGGAGGAGGAAGCATGGGGAGTTGGAGATAAGTGTTCTAATAGGTATGTTAATTTTAGAATAAAAATGTCATGTGTATGTTTTGGCATTTGTTGGTTAGCTAAGGTGTAGTTACTGAAATTTAGTTACTTTTATTTTTGTTAGAATCTTCAGTATATCCAAATTATTAAATTATTTTCTGCTTTTAGGCGTTTAAATGCAGAATTGGAGGCAAAAACGGCTGATCTGGTTCGACAAGCTGAGGAAGTAATAGTAAGTAAATGCGCAATTATTAGTAATTCCACGTAAGTGCTAGTTTTTTACCTTTTTAACTTGATGTATAACATACATATGAAAAAGTACCCAAAGCATAAATTTTCAGCTCAATGAATTATCACAAATTGAACATGAATATCTGTATAGGTTTGTGTATAGATGCATGTGTATGTTTTTGATAAGCACACATTTTCTAAGAGCCACTGAAAAAGTCTTTTCTATTTAGGTGTTCCTATCATCTAATTAATAAGAACATTAATATTTAATAATCTTTCCCGCTATTTTAAGATTAATATGTGAGATTGGCTATGTAGAATTAACACTGGGAATTCAGTAAGGATAGACATAAAATAGTCTGTGGACAGAAGCTGAATAAAGGATAACAATTATTACTAATATTCAGATGGTAATTTGTTTCTTAGACTCTGCAGCTGGGTAACTCAAATTCTTAGGGCTAGACCGTCATCACAGGAAAAATGTAGAGGTTCTATCACTAGACAATGTAAGTATATATTGCCCCATTCTGAGTACCACGCTGGTTATTCCTACGTTAGCATTTTTCCTCAGGCATCAACATTCCCATTGTTAATTGATAGGATGTAGTAGCATCCTTAGAGGAATAGGGTGGCTGCTTTCAAACCTTTTTTCAGTTCTTATTCTCATTTAATTATATTTTTTTCTTTTAAATCCCCTCCCCCCACCGTGGAGTCGTTGGGGGCAAGGAAGTATAGGCAGTATTTTATTTTAATGCCTTATACAGAGCCATTATTATTAGTTTAGGAATAAATATATATAATATTTCAGGTAGTATATTCAGATAATGATAGTTACAGGTTTGCTAGGTGCATTTGTAATTAAATATTTTATTAAAAATAAATATTTTCTTACATCTTTTAGTTTTTGCCAGTGTCTGAAGAGCAGGAAAATACTTAAAGAAACCCAGTGTTACAGTGGAAGGAGGGATTTATTATGTATTCTGTTCAAACAGTCTTCTAATAAGGGCCTTTTTTTTTTTTTCCAAAAAAGAGTAGACCAGGAAACTGGGAAGGGCTGGGAAAGGGCAGAGGGCATTCTCGCCCCCACAGAAGTAATGGATATAACTTTTGCCACATTGATGAACTTTTGTTTACTCACTTTCATTTCTTTTTTTTTTTTTTAAGAATCTCTGAAATTTTTTATTTTTTTATTTTTTTCCTTTTTCTCCCCAAAGCCCCCCGGTACATAGTTGTATATTCTTCGTCGTGGGTCCTTCTAGTTGTGGCATGTAGGACGCTGCCTCAGCGTGGTTTGATGAGCAGTGCCATGTCCACACCCAGGATTCGAACCAAGGAAACACTGGGCCACCTGCAGCGGAGCACGTGAACTTAACCACTCGGCCACGGGGCCAGCCCCTCACTTTCATTTCTTGATATATCTTTTCCAAAAGCTTTTACTCTTAGTGCTTCATTTTTAGCATCTGTGAGCTTTTCTTAACGTTGAAGCTTTGCGTGATTTGAGACAAGTCTTTCTACCCATTAAACATTTCTGTTTTTATTTCTTGTGAATTTAATTTCCTTTGCGTGTTACATAAGATGAAAGACTTTAATGTAATGGAGAAGCAGGAGTCAGATAAGATCATATAAAGGCATTGACACTCTCACATTTTCCCCTTAGAATTGACTTTCTTAACCCAGATTGAATGAAAGGTGAAACTACATGATTCCAGACCTTATTTTTATACTATAGCATTTATAATCCTGTGCCTTGATTTCATAGAAACTGTGGACAACTCTGAAATGATTAATTATGAGAAAGGCACTTGAATGCATCCTAGTTTTGTGTTTTTCCTTCCTATATGGCTTGTCTTTACTCATTTAACTAGAGAGATCAGCAAGAAGTACGATCTAGGCCTACTTCAACACAAATTAAATCATATGAAGAAGAAGATGATTACAGTTTAAGGTAAGTGACAAATTCTTGAACACCTCTTTTTTTTTAACTGGGTAAATGCTGTAAGATATTTTTCTTTTTTTAAATTGAGGTATAACCGATGTACAACATTTTAGTTTCACATGTACAGCATAATGATTTGATATTTGTATGTATTGAGAAATGATCATTACAGTAAGTCTAGTTAATGTCCGTCACTGTACATAGTTACAGAACTTTTTTTCTTGTGATGAGAACTTTTAAGATCTACTCTCTTAGCAGCTTTCAAGTATGCAATACAGTATTAATAATAGTTGCCATGCTGTACATTAAATCTCCATAACTTATTTATTTTATAACTGGAAGTTTGTACCTTTTGATTCCCGTCACCCATTTTGCCCAGACCCCAACCCCTAGCCTCTGGCGATCACCAGTCTGTTCTCTAAGAGCTTGGTTTCTTTTTTTTAGATTCCACATACAAGTGAGATCATATGGTATTTGTCTTTCTCTGCTGGCTTATTTCACTTAGCATAATGCCCTTAAGGTCCATCCATGTTGTCGCAAGTGGCAGGATTTCATTCTTTTTTTATGGCTGAATAATATTCCATTGTATGTATATACACCACATTTTCTTTATCCATTCATCTGTCAGTGGACATTTAGGTTGTTTCTATATCTTGGCTATTGTAAATAATGCTGTAATGAATGTTGGGGTGCATATGTCTTTTCGAGTTAGTGTTTTCATTTTCTTTGGATAAATACCTAGGAGTGGAATTGCTAGATCATATGGTAGTTCTATTTTTAATTTTTTGTGAGTCTCCATACTGTTTTCCATGGTAGCTGCACCAGTTTACATTCCCATGAATGATGCACAAGGGGACCCTTTTCTCCATGTCCTCATCTTATCTCATCTTTTTTTTTTTTCCTTTGGTGAGGAAGATTTGCCCTGAGCTAACATCTGTGCCAGTCTTCCTCTATTTTTTATGTAGGATGTGTCTACAGCATGGCTGATGAGTGGAGTAGGTCCTCACCCAGGATACAAATCCATGAACTCAGGCCGCTGAAGCAGAGTGTGCAGAACTTTAACTACTTGGCCATGGGACCAGTGTCATCTCATGTCTTTTTGATAATAGCCATTCTAACAGGTGTGAGGTGCTATCTCATTGTAGTTTTGATTTGCATTTCCCTGTTGGTTAGGGATGTTGAGCTTCTTTTCATGTAGATGTTGGCCATCTGTATATCTTCTTTGGAAAAATGTCTATTTAGATCATCTGCCCATTTTTTAAATTAGATATTTTTTTGTTATTGAGTTTATGAGTTCTTTATATATTTAGGATATTGACCCTTTATCAGATATTTGGTTTGCAAATAATTTCTCCCATTCAGTAAGTTGCCTTTTCATTTTGTTGATGGTTTCCTTCGCTGTGCAGAAGCTTTTTAGTTTGATGTAGTCCCACTTGTTTATTTTTGCTTTTGGTGTCAAATCCAAAAAATTACCGCCAAGACTGATATAAGGAGCTTACTGCCTATGTTTTCTTTCTAAGAGTTTTATGGTTTCAGGTCATACATTCAAGCCTTTAGTCCATTTTGAGTTTATTGTTGTATATGGTGTAAGATAGTGGTCCAGTTTCATTCTTTTACATGTTACTGTCCCGTTTTCCCAGCACCATTTATTGAAGAGACTGTCCTTCCTCCACTGTATATTCTTGACTCCTTTGTCATAAATTAATTGACCATATATGTGTGGCTTTATTTGTGGGCTCTCTATTCTGTTCCATTGATCTCTGTGTCTGTTTTTATGCCAATATCATACTGTTTTGATTACTAAAGCTTTGTAATATAGTTTTAAGTCAGGGAAAACACCCTTTTTTTTGATGATGTATGTGGATCTTTTATTATATAAAACTTTTTTGCAGGTAAGTATTTGAAATCTGTAACTTGAAGAATACGTAATATATAAAATACTAATAGCTGGGGAGTTCTACCAGTCAGACAAAATGTAAACCCTTCACCTACTTTATCTCATTTAATTCTCAAAGTATTTTGAAATAAATATTATTGTCCTCATTTTAAACATGAGGAAATTGCAGCTTTGAGGAGTTCAGTAGCTTACCCAAGGACGTAGAGATAGTATGTGATTTCACTGAAATCCAAGCCACAGTTGATAAGATTTCTAAACCTGTTCTCACAGATTCTGCCTTTCTTTTAAAATTGTGTATGAAGATTAGGTAAAAATAAACAAATTAGCAAAAATAAAATATATTAGATCTTTTCTTTCCTTGAATTTTACATGAACTTCAGATATGTCAAGAAATTAGGGAACCAAAAAAATATTTAGGAATAAATTTAACAGGAAAAGTAGAGGATCTGTGTGAATAAACCTATAAGATCTTGTAGTAGGGGCAATGGTGATCACCAGATCTTCCAAGTCTCTTGCTATGAGCAGAAGTCAAATCATTCTCTTCCAAGCCTGAAGAGACAGGAGTTGGTGTCTGAACTTTCAGCTAACTTTCTTTGCCATGATCAGTGAAAATTTGTTTGGCAAAACCTCCCAGCCTGGTCTCTGGGTGACCATGTGGAATATAAGGAAAAAAGGGCCTCCCCTCTCTTTCTGCTGCTACTTTGGGTTTGTTAAGCCCCTGAGATTTGGGGTTAATATCTTAGCCCGTCCTAAGGAATGCAGCAGTTGGCGTTGAGAGTAGGGTGCTGTAAGTGCGGGTTTAGCTTTGTAGTCAGGTGGTAGTGGCAAGGAAACTGACATTGGAGGCTGGAAAGATAGAGGAATGCTGGTATGTAGTGGCAATGAATTTAGTAAAACTGTCACCTTTGGTAAACTGGGAGGCAGAACAGATTTCTAATGAACTTGTGCTCTAGGGAAAGAGATGGGAAAACAGTATTAGTAAGCACTGTTACTATTAGCTGTATTTGGTGCAGCGTTATAAGAAAGACAAATTGGGAAAGAATTGCCTTTTTGCAAACAGACATGAAAGGAAATATGGAGATTCTAGGAATTATAGGCCTTGTAATATTGGAAAAGTTGCCTGCTTCTAATTTTGATGAGGTCCAATTTATCTGCTTTTTGGATGCCTGTGCTTTTGGAGTTACTCTAGAAATCCATTGCTAAATCCAAGGTCATTAAGATTCACTCCTCTATTTCTTTATAGGAAAGTAGTATAGTTTTAGCTCTTACCTTTAGGTCTTTGATCCATTTTGAATTAATTTTTGTGTATGGCATGAGATAAGGGTTAACCTTCATTCTTTAGCATGTGGATGTCCAGTTGTCTTAGCACCATTTGTTGAAAAGAGTATTCTTTCCCCCATTGAATGGTCTTGGCACCCTTGTCAATAAGCTGACCAGAGACACAGTTTTATTTTAGGACTGTCAATTCTGTGTCATAGATGTGTGTATCTATTTGTATACCAGCACTACACTGTCTTGATCACTCTTGCTGTGTAGAGTTAGCTGCTTTTAGACCTCAAAATTATGAGAGAAAATTGAGACAAATCTTTGAGTAGCAAAAGCCTGTTAAAGCTCAACTTTGAGGCAAAGATCAGAGTAAAGGTATGCTCTTCACAACTATTGGTAAAACTTTCCAATGGATTAAGGTTCTTCAGGGCAAGGATCATATTAAATAGCACCTAGTGAAACTTTCCAGTTGGATAAAATGGCTCAAGGCAAAAATCTAACTAAAGGCGTATTCTCTCCATAGAAGCCTGACAACTTCAAAGTAACCCATTTTTAAATTGGTGGGGGGAGAGAAAAGTGGAGGATGGACAGAAGGATGGAAGGGGAGAGAGAGGTGTTCAAGGTAAAGTAAAGAAATAGTCTTGGAAAGAACCGTGGGTGTGGTAATGACACAGGGAACTGACTGGAATCAAATAGTAAGAAATGAGTTTTTGAGAGTTGTACTAGCGAAGAAACTTTGAGTGATGGACTAAAACTGTTTGTGACTACTTAAATCTTGAAAGAGCTATGGGTCCTCTCGGTCTTCTAAGATAAAGAAGCAGGCTGTGAGAATTGCACAGCTGTTAAAGGGTATAACGTTTAAACACCTAGAGGGCGTAGAAACAACAAAGAAATGTGTAACTTAAGTGCCAGTATATTCGTCTCATACTTGAAATATTGGAACATCAGTCATTAGGTCAAAAGTTTTATTGCATACGATCCAGCAATTCCTCTCTAGAAACGAAGACCTGTGTCCTAGCAAAAACCTGTATGCAAATGTTTATTACAGTTTTATTCATAATTGCCAAAAACTAGGGACAACTCATATCTATCAAGTGGTGAATGGATAAACAAATTATATGTTAATGCAGTGGAATACTCCTGGCAATAAAAAGCAATGAACTACTGATAGGGCAATAACACGATGCTAAGTGAAAGAAGCCAGACTAAAAAGTGTATATACTGTATGATTTTATTTATTTGACATTTCAGAAAAGGTAAAAACTGTAGGGACAGAAATCAGATCTGTGGTTGTGTGGGGCTCAGCGGGAGAGAAGGGGATTAACTGCAAAGGGACACGCGGGAACTTTTTGGGATGACAGAAATATTCTCTATCTTGGTTGTTGTGGTGGTTTCATGACCATATAAGTTTGTTAAAATTTATAGAACTGTACATCTAAAAAGGGTGTATTTTACCATATGCAAATTATATCTCAGTAAACCTACAAAAATAATCTTTAAACACCATTGGTGCCAGGTTCAGCTATTGGTGGTACAATGGTGGATAAATAGACCAGGTCCTGCTCCCGAGGACTTAATGCCTAGTATGTTGCTTTTTAATGGTTTTTGAAATTTAAACAAATTTTTCATAAAAAATACTTTTTTTACATCATCATTTGATATATACATATATATGTGTACGTATAATGTGAAACTATTCATCCTTATTATATGTAACGCTGTCCAATATTTTATGGAAAATCATGTTTAACAGTTATCAAAATTCCAAAATTTGGATTACAAATAAAATTTGGCACAGCTTTTATCCAGTAAATGAAAAGATTGAAATGATGGTAACGACAGCTAATCCCTAGTGTCTGTTGAAGCAGGTGAGAGACTGATTTCACAAGCATGAAAATAAATCTGTTGGTTTTCTTTTACTAAATTTTTTTAAGTGCAAAGTGGTGGTGACACCTCTGTTTAGATCAGGCGGCTCTTTTTTTTAATGCTACTGTTTGAACAGATGGCTTGTACCATGTGAAACATGGCGCTTGACTATTGGGAATTGCTAAGGATGGGAGGTAATTCTATAAAGAGACAATCCATGTTAGCTTGGATCAATGATAATTCACCTAAATGATTATAGTCAGGCAGTCTATATTAGAATAGGTCTTCAACATCCAGGGTTCCTCTGTCAAGTAATATGGTAGGGAAATAAGAATTTAGTTCCCTAATAGTATAGCATACATATCCCTCAGTCTGCTGGAAGCAAGGTTCACCACACAAATCATTTAAATCATAAAACACGCAAAACCTTTCATGGAGAAGTTTTACATAAATAATCAGAATACACTGATGCACTGCATGACGATGTTTCAGTCAATGACAGACCACATGTGTGACAGTGGTCCCATAAGATTAGTACCATATAGCCTAGATGTGTAGTAGTCTATCCCATGTAGATTTGTGTAAGTACGCCCTGTGATGTTCACACAATGACAAAATTGCCTAACAACACACTTCTCAGAATGTGTCCCAGTCATTAAGCAGCACATGATTGTACTGTTTAGTTGATTTTTCATGGAAATACACTAGCAAGTAATAGCGCTCTGTTCAACCTGAAGGAGGAACATAACCATTAAATGTCTTTTAGCTGATAGGTATGTGTATGTGGTGGGGGAGGCATATGGAAGGTGTAGAAAATGTAAGGAAATGGCAAATATTATTTAAAATGAGGGTGATTAAAGAGGACACTTAAAATTTGTATAAAATTTGAAAACCTTTCATGTCATATGTGAGAGTGATTCTTTAATCTCTGTAATTTTAAGATATTTTGAAAGCCTTGTCTTTTCCCCAGAGCTATTTCTAGTTCTTTAAGAGGTCATAGTCATATTTAATAATATCCATCTAAGTATATCTTTGTGTTTAATATTGAAAAAACCTATATATGACTAGTTCGAGAGGTGGCATCTGATGGACAGAAATGTTGTTTTTCTGTCCTCTACTATGGGTAGGAGTTCTCAGGGGTTTGATGTAATTTCTTAGTTTTTTTTTCGTAGCAACAATAGATACTAACTTGGTAGGTTTTCAGAAATATTAACACATGTGTTGGCGAGGATCTAGAAAATTGATGAGGGGTAGGCAAACTTTTCCTGTAAAGAGCCAGAGAGTAAATATTTTTGGATTTGTGGGCTATGCAGTCTTTGTCACAACCACTCAACTTTCTGGTTTTAGTGTGAAAACAGCTCTAGACAATGAGTAAAGGAATGGATGTGGTGGATTCAGTGTGTGGGCCATAGTTTGCAGACTCCCATAATCACTCTTCATTTTAAACTACAAACATATTTTGTCCATAAAAATGAATTGTATTTTAGATGAATTTGTTAATACAGTTAGCAAATATTTAGTGCCAATTTAAGAGTTTATATGCCAGTTACTGTGGCAAGTACTAGGCATAGAGCAGTGAACAAGGCAGACATGATTCGTACTCTCGTGGAGTCCACAATGTAATGGAGAAAACAGACATTGACCAAGTATTTAAATGCATTAGACAAAGAATAACAATGGGTGAGCTCACAATAAAAAGCCCTGTTTGTAAAATAGGTAATCTTTGTGTGTAGCCAATAATCACTCCTTATGATTTCCATTTGTTAAAATTTGTGCTGTACTTTCTTACAACAATATTGACATCATGGTACATCTTCTCAAAGGTGAATTATTTAACCAAAGCACTTTTCTTGTTTGTGACACTCATTCAAAATCAATTAACATGTGCGTAATAGAATTATAGCAAAGTCTACTTGATAGTTGTTTATTTTCCCTTTCAAATGTAATTGCTGTTGAATTTTATCGTGTCTCAGCCTTAGTATCACCTATTCTTAATTCATAATGCTTATTTTTGGTCTGTAGAGGTCTATTGTCATCTGAAGGGACAGTTCATGTACATTCGGAAACTAAGGTATGAAATCAAACTTTGTGAACATAATTACATTCTGTAGAATTTAGGTTACTTTTCAGGCTTTTCTTAGGCAAAACAGAGAAGGGGTATGGCTTTATAGAAATAGAATAGAAGCCTTGATACTCAGAAGAGATGCCTTCATGAATTGTTGCTCACATAATAAATTGAGTTCTTTTTTGTCTCATACTTTCACAGAACAATTTGGAGAAACATTGGAAAAAATTCAAAACGAAATGAATCTGTAACCAAGGATTTTTAGTTTTCTCTCTGAAGCCCAAATTTACTAGCTAGAAGGCCTGAAAAAGAAAGTATTCATATACAAAGACGGTGATTTAAAGGTTTATTCATTCGTTTAAATATTTGCAGCGTAGAGATCACTATTGCAGGTGCTGTGTACACTGGGGTCTGCAAGGTCCCCAGCCATGGGGATCTAGGACAAGTGTACGTGAAGGCCTGTCTGGGGAATGATCAGTGAGGAGGACTAAATTCTGAGTCAGGACATCCAGTCTAACATTCCACTAGCTAGCTGAATATCCTTGAATCTTTGGGACTCATTTTCCTTATCTTTGAATCTCTTGGTCCTGATGAAATCTAGGTATTTTCCAGCTATACAATTCCAGGATTCTTTACAATACAATTAGATTAATTCCATGAAAATAGTAATGCTTCTATATAGTAAACTAGCAATTCTGTGTATTAAAAAATTGCTTTCCTTGGCAAATAAATAGAATCTAATTAATCAGTGGTTTAAATTCTTTTCATGTAGCCAAAGACCAAAAACATTGATCCACTAAATAAGGTTCAAAACAAACTACACTCTGCAAATAAAGGAAGGAAAACAAACTCGAGGTATAGTACAGTTTAAAAAGTATTAGTTTTTTGTTTAGTTTTATAATTCACAGTATCATCATTCTTAATTATTAAGCTCTTTCTAGTTTTTTGTTTAGTTTTATAATTCACAGTATCATCATTCTTAATTATTAAGCTCTTTCTGTTTCTCCAGATCTTTTTATACCCAAAATATACAAAATTACACTGTATATATCTTAGTCATATTCAATAATTTGAAACGTTTTCTACTCAGATGTGTCTTGCAGCAGTTAATGAACATTTTGTATTGTTTTCTTAAACAAAATCGCTACATTTAAAATTTTTTGTGTTATTTTTCGTGAGAGATTTTCTTAGAACTGAAACTAGAACCTAGGTGTCTTTCTCTGCCTAGTTCTCTCAAATGGACTAAATAGTTTTACGCTTTTTGAGCATTTAACAGAGCACCATTACATTTTTGTGTATATTGAGATACAGAATGACTTGGCATGCTCTAAATAAGACTATAGTACAATTATAATTTACATTTTATTGTTTTTGGTGAGAAAGAATTCGAGACTATTCTTAGTATTTTAAGCATAAAAAGGGGACCCAGGAGCTCTCTAGAACAGGAGGCCTAGAACAGGAGGGCCACGCCTGCTGTGGGTTGCATCAGCCAGCTTCTTATTCACAGGAAGTCATTAAATTTACATGTCTACTACTTCCCCAAACTGATAATTACATTATAGTTCTGGGAAAATCTTTATTAGTTCTTGTCTTTTAATTGGCTAAGTAATTTTTTTCTTAATAAAAGAGAGAAAAAAATAGAGTGAAGGGATGAGGAAGAGAAAATCTAAAATAGATTGACAAGAATATACAACTATGTACCGGGGGGCTTTGGGGAGAAAAAGGAAAAATAAAACCTTTAAAATAGATTGATAAAGGAAAAGAAAACATATACTACATATATACATAACTGGAAAGGATTATCTTATTTTCAGACTTCAAGTTTACCTTTTAAAGAAAAGATTGTTTTTCCAAAATAAATTTGAAGCCTTTGCTTATGTGTGAAAAGTAATTTTGGCTTTAAAATAAGTAAAAATTTATAATTACGGCTTTAGAACCTTGATGAGTTAGGTCTGGCCCAGTCCTAAATGCCTTTAGAAGTGACTTCTGTTTCGTATTTATTCCTTTACCTCATTAAAAAAGTCAAATCCAACTTTTTGGTCAACTTTGATCCTGGTTAGAATGTGTTTCTTCAGGTGGAAAAAAATGTTGAGTTTGCGCTAATAACTGTTCATTCTGTAATGCTTTCTCAAGAGGTATTATTCTTCAGTGTCTGCAGAATTATGGCTAGAGCAATATCAGTTTTTACAGTTCTTCTCCAGCGGCATGTAAAATTAAAAGACACAGGCCGGATTTGACTAGGTCAAACTCAGTACTCTTGGTTTTGCTGTTCACTTGTTCAGAGGCAATGTCTAGACTAACGGGCCCCATAAAGCCTTCCCTAGCTCTGTGGTTGTGTGATTCAAAAGGACTGAAAGTCTGCTAAGTCTCTTAGAATCCTTGAAAGTAGCAATCGTAGATTTCATCGTAAATTTAAAATTCATAATAATTTTTATCTGCTTTGTTATTTGGATAAAAGCCGTATCTAGGAGTCATATCTCCTTTTTATAATATATATAATATGCATTTTTTTTTAGTATAAAACTGAAATACCCTGATGTACAAACTGCCAATGATGTTGCCATTCCAGAGGATTTCTCAGACTTTTCTCTTGCAAAAACAATTAGCAAAATTGAAGGGCAACTGGAGGAAGAAGGCTTACCTGATTATATAGATGATGATATTTTTTGTGGTGCTAGTAAAGACATCGGAACAGGTAGGTTTCCTTTTGTTTATTTTTGTCCTTATATCACAATTGCTTAGAAAAGGGTATTTGGGAACTATTTTCCTTGCATTTAAAAAACGTATTGTGATGTCTTGCATTTGTTTCAAAATCATCTAGTGGGACATGGTGGTGGAAGGAATGAGTGGGATTATAGATGAAATAAAATTGGTTATGAGTGAATAATTGTTGAAATGAATGATGGGTAAGTAGAGTGTCATTGAACTAGTCTCTCTACTTTTGTATGTTTGATATTTTCCATTATAAAAAGTAAAAATGAAAAAGACTACATAGTATTGCTTTCATTGACCACTGTTCAATTAAGGTTAAAATGCCCCATAGCTTGTCATTGAAACATTAAAATAATTTTAAAAACCATGTTTCTTTGAAGTCCTTTTATTTAATGTTACTGTATTCTATTTATTGAATGTTAAATCAACAGATGCAAAAGGATAAATGAATTATTGATGTAACATCAGGTAAAATAATCAAATGAGTTTTCTAATGAATATTATTTTTTTCTTATAAACTCATTCTTTATGTACCACTAGAAAAATACTAAGTTTCGGTCATGTGAAAACATTACATTAGTTACCAGGAATGCCTCTAAAATTGTTGAATTTTAGACATATTCTGGAGTGTTGGACTCAGGGCCCAGGTCACTATCTTGACAGGCAAAGCATCATCCTGGTTCCTCTTCCATGTGGGACACATGGGGGCCAAGGAATCATGGGGCTCCAGGCCTAAAGCAAACTCTCATTGGGACCCCTGTCCCCTCCCAGCAGGCCTTCCCTACTCCCTGGGCAGGTAATCAGAATAGAAATAAATGGTGGTTGGCGCATCTCACGTTGAATCAATGGCCTTCTGGGTAAGAGCCTTGTAGTGGAGCTAGGCAGGTGGAGATGTCTGGAATTGCTCCCTGCTACCCACCCCCAGCAGGGAGAGAAATAAAAAACGATATCCTACCCTGGGAAGAAGAGCAACTTCTTTGCTGTTGTAAGCAAAAAATAAGACAATTGAGTGCATATGAATATAGTTAATGCTAAACTATAATTAATTATGAGTTCAGGCAAGCCGTGTAGCTCCTCTGAAATAGCAGTTTCTTCTTTTGAAAATTTAGCACTTGGAATTAGCTGATCATAAAGTTTATCTTTAAAATTCTCTGATTCTGTGAAAATCATAACAATTTATGTGTAATGATTATTGTGTTGCTTGCTAGTTAGTCATAAATGAGGAGCAATTCATCTGCATTTATTACGTTTACTGACCTATCCAAGCTTTCTGGGGATAGTTGTCAGGAGGGAAGGTACGTGAAGCAGGAAGTTGCCGTTATGTCTCTGTTAAGATGCCTTCAAAGACACAGTGGTCAGATGTTTGCTGTTCCTCCGTACACAGGTACCGAGGGCCCTATTACAGTGTTCCTTCTCCTAGATACAGGAAACCTGCACAGACAGACTACCTTAGATTGCTGCTTTTTTCTTATTGCTGAATCACCTCTCTGCCACTTTGCCTCTCTGTCTTCCCTTTTCAGAGTCCTTGGCCTAGGTGTCCCCCTTTAAGGGGAGCTTTCTCTTATTCCATATGATTGCCTAGAATGGCTGGATTACTTGGGGTAGGAAAAGATCAAAGAGCAGTTTAGTGGCACAGACTGCTTTGTAAGCCTAAAGTTGGCGTGGGATGGGGAGGGGAGGTTAGTGCTGTGGACCTCCAGAGAGACCAGAGCACTCAGCTCCTTGATGATACTACTGAGGTTAGAGTTGGGGAGAGAAAGAGTTGGGAAAAAGTCATGTTCTGCCATTCTTTCTTCCTTCTTTCCCCCTAGAGACCAACTACTGCAAACTTTACACTTTTAAATTTATCATTTTCCTTCTATCCCTTGCTAACCTGGGGTTACATGAGAGGCTAGAAGGAGAGTTGAGGCTAGAGATCTGGGTGGGGTTAGAGCCAACCATGGTTCATCAGCTCCGTGGTAACACTGGGGACGCTTCGTAAGAAGAGTTTTGGAACAGAAAGTTATGTATGGAGACATTCTGTACTCTGCCAGATACACCCTACTGACTTCTCAGAGACAGTTCAGAGTGTTTACTCAAAATAAGCTCCGTGAGGGCAAGGCTTGTCTTATAATATCCGTACTGTGCCTGGAACATTGTAGAGACTTAGTGTTTATTTTTTGACTGAATGATTGAATGAATTATGAGTGAGTTCTAAGTTCAGTTTTCACTTTACTTACTTTTATAGGCCTATAAACCTCAAAGATTTACTGCTGATATTATTGAATAAAAAACTTTTGCTAGCAATGAAATACCCAAGGCGGATCTTCATGAGGGTTTGTGGGAGAAAGCTCCTGCAGTAAGGTGTTAGTGTGTGTCTTTGCTCCTAAGACACACACACTATATTTTAACTTCTGTGAAATCGGGCTGCATATTACAGTCAGTGGCATTTTGTAATCACAATGGCTAGGATTGAAGCTGAGTTTTGCTATAGAGGGTTTGTATTTGTTTCTGCCAAACACTTGCGGACAGTACCGACCTGAGACCACTTTAATTCTGTTTGAGGTGCTTTGGACCACCATGGTGAGTATGAATTCAGTCTGCAAACGTGTGTGAGTACTGGCTTGTGGTTCAGAGTCTCAGGAGAGGTTTTTGGGTTTTTTCCCTTTTTCTCACTTGGTTCCAATGTGGGTGTGAACACTTCCTTTCTCCTAGGCGGATTTGTTTTTCATTTACCTTTACATTCGGGGGAGCTAGTGTCTTTGGTGTTCCTAAACAGGGATCTCCTGTTGGAATCCCCATCTTGAGCATTTATTTTTTTCCCTCATAAAATAATGGTCTGTCTTATAATTGATGGTATCTTAGATTCAGCAAAAGATAATAAATATAATTATTTACATCCACAGAGGCACAGATCAGATTTTTAAAGGCCAAACTCCGTGTCATGCAGGAGGAATTGGATAATGTTGTGTGTGAATGCAATAAAAAGGTAAGTTTTTAAAACCTCTCAAAATAAATGCTCTAATATTCAAAGACATTTTAGGAGCAATTTCAGTTATATTTTAAAAATAGCTTCATTGAAATATAATTCAGAGTTAAATTTTGAATTCAAAAATTGTATGTAAATACTGAACTTTGTTCTGCGGATGGTGAAGTTTCACAGAGCCTAAAGAATTTTAAATACTTGTTAGCAATTAGAATTCTCTATATTAGACTTACAAGTGTAAGCTATTAAGTAAGACATCTGACTTCCATTTTTGAAGATGAAAATAGAATATAATTTGTTTTTCTTCATGAAATGGGTATAAATATCTCATCAAAGATCATATGAAGCTCCTCTTGTTTTCTGCTTTGTGTTTTGATACCAAATCTTGTGCATTTTTTCACATAATCTATAATTTCATAACTACAGGAGGATGAAATTCAGGATTTAAAGTCTCAAGTAAAAAACTTTGAAGAAGATTGTGTGAGACAGCAGCGAACAATTAATTTGCAACAGTCTCAAACAGAAAAATATAAAACTCTTTTCGAAGAAGCAAACAAAAAATGTGTTGGATTACAGCAACAGCTGTCTTCAGTAGAAAGGGTAATAATTTTGCTATTTTTCCTAACTTAATGCCAAAGATGCTCTGAAACATTCAAGTTGCATGTTTGTATAGACGCCACTTTTGGTTGTTCAGTTATTTTGTTACTATTTACTAAAAATTCTTCCCCCATGTCTAGGAGAGTATTTTTGACAGCTTTATTGAGATATAATTCACATACATCTCACCATTTTAAAGTATACAATTCAGTGACTTTTACTATATTCACAGAGTTGTGCAACTATCACCACTATCAATTTTAGAACATTTTCATCACCCCAAAGAGAAACCCCATACCATTTAGCCACACAATACCCCAACCCTCTTCCCCCAGTCCCCTCCAGCCCTAGGCAATTCTAATCAATTTTCTGTCCTGATATATTTGCCTGTTCTGGGCATTCCATATACATAGAATCATATAGTATGTGGTATTTGGTGACTGAGATCTTTTGTTTAACATAATGTTTTCAAGGTTCATCTGCATTGTAACACGTATCAGTACTTCATTCCTTTTTATAGAGTAATATTCCTTTTTAAGGGGTAAAAGGATATAACACATTTTATTTGTTTATCAGTTGATGGACGTTTGAATCGTTTCCACTTTTTGGCTATTTTGAATAATGCTGCTATGAACATTCATGTGCAAGTTTTTGTGTGGACATATGTTTTCATTTCTCTTGGGTATATATCTAGGAGTTAAATTGCTGGATCATATGATAACCCTATGTTTAACATTTTGCAGAACTGCTGACTATTTTCCAAACCACCTGCACCATTTTCACATTTCCACACTCCAATTTCTCCACATCCTCACCAATTCATGTGAGATTATTTTTATCTTTTTTTTTTTCCTGGGGAAGATTCACCCTGAGCTAACATCTGTGCCAATCTTCCTCTTTTTTGTATGTGGGTCGCCCCCACAGCATAGCTGCCAATGAGTGGTGTAGGTCCACACTCGGGAACCAAACCTGGGCCGCCAAAGTGGAGTGCACCGAACTTAACTGTTAGGCCACAGGGCTGGCCCCCAGATTATCTTTTTGATTATAGCCATCCTAATGGTGTGAAGTAGTTATCTCATTGTGGTTTTGATTTGCATTTCCCTGATAGCTAATGATGTTGAAGATCTTTTCATATGCTTATTGGCCATTTGTATATCTTCTTTGGAGAAATGTCTGCTGAGATCCTGTGCCCATTTTTATTTATTTGTTTGTTTTTTGGTGAGGAAGACTGGCCCTGAGCTAACATCTGTTGCTAATCTTCCTCTTTTTGCTTGAGGAGGATTGCTGCTGAGCTGACACCTGTGCCAGTCTTCCTCTATTTTGTATGTGGGACACTGCCACAGCATGGCTTGATGAGCCATGTGTAGGTCTGCTCCTGGGATCTGAACTAGCAAACCCTGGGCCGCCAAAGTGGATCATGTGAACTTAACTACTACATCACTGGGCCAGCCCCTTGCCCATTTTTTTAAATTGGAATTTTTAAATTATTGAGTAGTAAGAGTTCCTTATATGTTCTAGATACAAGTCCCTTATCAGATATATGATTTGCAAATATTTCTCCATGAAACCACTCATTGGGTTATCTTTTCATTTTCTTTATAGTGTCCTTCAAAGCACAAACGTTTTTAATTTTAAAGTCCAATTTATCTAATTTTTCTTTAGTTGCCTGTGCTTTTGGTGTGATATCTAAGGGGAGGATATATTTCAGATAAGCTATCCTATTTAAAAATTTTTATATTAATGTAACATTGTGTTAATAAAAATGAAACATACTGTACAGTATTACTTTGCAAGACAGCCATAAAAATTACGTAATATAGCATGTATTGAGATTTAAGTAGTAAGAAAATATGCCATCTTCATTACTATGTCATATTTTCATATAAAAGAGCCTATTTTTAAACATTTTGGTCTTGTATAAATAGCATTATCTTTGGTAATAAAATTTTTAGCATTAGATTTATTGAGATATAATTTATGTACTGTAAATCATCCTTTTTAGTATACATTTCTTTGAGTTTTGACAAATGCATAGTCACTTAACCATACCCATAATTAAGATATAGAACAGTTCCATCATCCCAAAACGTCTCTTGTGAATTTAGTCAAGTCCTCCCCTGCTCCCAGTCCCAGGCAGCCACTGATCTGTGTTTGGTTCTTATATTTTGGCCTTTTCCCTAGCATAGAGCATGTGAGATTCACCCATGTTGTCATTGGTTTCTTTTTATTGCTGAGGAGTGTGACATTGAATGGATGTCTGATTGGCAGTCTCTCACCATATGTGGCTAGTCCAAATTGTGACATGCTGTAAGTGTAAAATAAACATCGGATTTTGAAGACTAAATACAAAAAAGAATAAAGAATGTAAAATCTTATAAATATTTTGTATATTGGTTACATGTTGAAATGATAATATTTTGGATTTGAGATAAGTGAAATACAGTATTAAAATTAATTTTACCTCTTCTTAAAGTGACTACTAGAAAATTTAAAATTACGTCTGTGGTTTGTATTATATTTCTATTGATCTAAGAAACATAGACAAATGGTCTGAAAAAAAAGTGTTGTATCTGGAAACAACTGTTTTAGTTTGTCATGACACTTTACCATTTGTCATCGTGCAAGCAAGCTCTGGCACATCACTGCTCTAATCTCACATAATCTTGAAACCTTGCCAAGTCTTTAATTCTTTTCTTGTTCTTGACCCTCATACCCAGTCCTGTGCATTCTTTCTTCCAATTGTTTTTCATTCATCTCTTTTTTTCAATTTCCATTGCCACTACTTGGTTCAAGCTATTATTATGTTATTTCTGAATTCTCCTCCCTGATTATTTTATATCCTTTTTCTTTTCCTTATCCATTGTATCCTGTACTCTGACAATAGATTAATATTCTCAAAGGACTACATGATTATAACTCTATGTATAGGCAGAAAGGGAACTAACATTTTTTGAGTGCTATGTGCCAGGCAAAACACATTTTACAGCAAGGGAAAAACTGAATCTGAGAGTTTAAGCAAATTGCCCAAGGTCATACAGGAGTGGCAGAGCAGGATTCAAACCGTGTTTGTCAGATGGACTCCAGAGTCTGTTCTTTCTACAAATCATGTAGGCTCTTTCTCTACTCCCCTCCCGCCTCCTCCAATTAAATGGACTTAAACACACAGCTGTTCCAAAATCTCATTGCTGTATAGAGTTGAATATCTGAAACTTTGGGTTCACAATGAATGAACTAAGCAATTATGATGCATTGGCTATCTGAAGCTTTTTATGTTAAATTTCATTGGCTCTGAACTTCCAACTTGAATCCCTGTCTACCTACCAGCCAGAGAGGTGTAACAACTCTTACGGGTTATGTGGAACTCAAGACTGAATCTTTCTTTGCTAATTCCATTCATTTTCTCTATCTCTAGAAACAAATCTCAATGTACAGTTTGCAGAAATGCGAAACAAAGCTTGGGTTTGATGAAGCTGCTTCTATAAACTTGCAAAAGCCAACTATTTAAAAAATGATTATGTGTATTAACTTATTTTAGCTGCTAATACTAACAGATGGAGTCATTTCTAAAATATAAAAACAGAAAGCATTTTATTTCAGCATTGGATTTTGTTTTTCTTTTGATGATCTCTATGTAAAAATCAACTTAATATTGAGGAATAACTTAATAAAATATACTTGCTTTAATTGTAGAATTCATTGAGTTTTGACAAATTAATACATCCTTATAACCACCGTCACAATCAAGATAAAGAAAATTTCTATCACCCCCCTGCAGATTTCTTTTGTGTCCCTTCCCTGTAAATCCCGTCTCTAAGCATGGCCCCAGGCAATCACTGATCTGCACTCTTTTACTACAGATTGGTTGTTCTTATTCTAAAATTTCAGATAGATGGAATCATAAATACGTACTTTTTTGGGTCTGGCTTCTTTTGTTCAGCATAATGTTTTTGAGATTCATCAATGTTATTGTGTGTTTTGTGGTTTATTCCCTTGTATTGCTGAGTAGTATTTATTTATGGATTTACCACATTTTGTTTATCTCTTCACCAGTTGATGGGCATTTGGGTTGTTTCCAGCATTGGGCTATTAGAAATAAAGCCACTATGAATTTTCATGTACAAATGTTTTGTGTAGACACATGTTTTTGTGTAAAAGGATCCAATATCATTCATGATGTTGGATAAATACCTAGGAGTAGAATTTCTGGGATTTATGGAAAGTGTATCTTTAACTTTTTAAGAAACTGTCAAACTGTGTTCCACAGTGTACCATTTCTCATTCTGACTAGCAATATGTGAGAGTTCCAGTTAGTCTGTATCCTCCCCCAAACTTGGTATTGTCAGTCTTTTAATTTTAGCTGTTCTAGAAAGGCAGAAGTATTGGTCATTTGTATATCTTCTTTTGTGATGTGTCTGTTCAAACCTTTTGCCCATTTAAAAAATATTGGGTTATAGTAAGAGTTCTTTATGTTTCCTTGTCTAATTCCTTTGCTAGAAGAATTTGTACTGTGAATAGTTTCTCCCAGTCTGACTTGGCTTTTTTATTTTCTTAACGGTGTCTTTCAAAAGGCAGTAGTTTTAAATTTTGATGAATGCCAATGTATTTTTTTGTGGTTTGTGCTTTTTTTTTATCCTATTTGAGAAATCTTTGCCTATCCCAAGGTCATGAGGATTTTCTCCTATGTTTTCTTATAGAAATTGTATGGTTTTAGCCTTTATGTATATATGTGTTGTATATAAATAGATCTATAATCTATTTCAAGTTAATTTTGTGTATGGTGTGAGGTTAAGGGTCAAGGTTCATTTTTTTCATACAGATAATCAACAGCATTTATTGAAAATACTCTTCTTTCTCCATTTAATTAGTATAGCACCTGTGTAGAAAATGAATTGACTATATGTGCAGGTCTATTTCTGGAGTCGCCTGTTACATTGATCTGTATGTTTGATATACTTCATTGGTAAAACTTTGTGGGCTGGAGTTTTCTTTTTGGAAGGATTTTA